CAGGGGAAGTGTGCGGTCACCTCGACGAGCTGCGCGGAAAGCCAGGAGGAGCTGTACAGCGGCCTGATGGCAAACCCGCCCGCCTCGCCGCCCATCCCTGTTCCCGTGCCACGCCCAAGGAGGAACGCCATGGTTAGAGCTCCTTTCTCACTGGGGTCTGAGCTCGGGAAATGAGGAGTGGGAGTGGCCCGAGCTTCTGTGCAGCTCTGCGCCTGTGGGCTCTTCATTTTCTATCTACTGTATCTCCTTTCTTTAGACTCGCCAGCTTTGGAGTCGTGGAATAATCTCGTATTGCCTCCTCTGTTAGGAAAGCTGTGGAAGTCATGGCCCGGGTTTCCAAAGATGTGCCCATCTGCTTTCTAGATAGACGGTCCTTAACGTAGACAATTGTGTATTGCAGGGGAGGCCGACTCTGACCCCTGAGAGCCTCAGTAAAAGAAGGCCTGATAAGGTCACCCGTTGTAAAGGGCATTACCCGTTTGGAAATACTTGGAATGTCTTGGTTCAGTTAAGTTGGGAATGGTCTAGTGTGTTCCTTAAGAGAAAGAGACAAGAACCTGGTGTTTTAGTTTCGGGTGATCTTGTAACTACTCAAATCGCCTGACTTCTTAAGCGGTGAAAAGAAAGTGTTTAGAAATGGCCGACACAAAGGTAAAGAAAAAAAACCTGCTGGCCTGTGGCTCGATTCCACTAGTTTTCCCTTGCAGAGTCGGCGGTGTTTGCAAAGAGGCAGAAGGTGGTAACTGCACCTCACTGGCTTTATTACGCTTGCCAGTTGGACAGGTGTGCTAGTCGCAGAGATGAAGCTTGGAGGAGAGGGCAAGCAGTGGAGTAACAGCTATAGAACAGGCGGAGGGAAAGAAGTCCCATTTTATAGAGGGCAGGGGGAGAGGAAGTAAGCTTGTAAAAGGGGGCAAGTGGTCAGTGTTCAGAGGGTGTTTGGACAGACTGCTACCAGGGAGGGGTGCTACAGAATAGTGATTGGAGAACAGACCTACTGAGAAGGGGGTGCGGGGGTGGGTGTGGTGTGGCAACCTCAGGAAACCCTGACTTTGCTAGGGGAGTCATTTGTACAGCAATCTCTGGCCTACAGGGCTCCATTCTGAACTGTGGACCTCAACAACAGGAGCCTCTGTTTTTGTCACGCCCTGTGAACACAGGAAGTGTGAAAACTGTCAACTGCATGAGACTGATTTGATGAAAGCCTTAAATCAGGTCTACTCAAGAGTGACCCCTCATCTCTCTGGCCAGTTTTGCAGCAGCTAGCTTCTTAATGTGGTGTTCATTTGTTGGATCAATGCAGCAATAAAGGAGCAGGGAGAGGACTGAAGGGACTGCAGATTTAGTTGTTCTGCATTATATGACCCAGTGTAAGGGAAAAGGAGACAGCTTCAGTTTGTCACGGTCCTTTATTAATTGTTATTCCCCAGTTGCAGTTGCTTCTATCCATGGATCCTCGTGTTCTGCTTGCAGGTAAAGCCGAGGCAGAAGAGGGTCCAAGCCCTGGTGGACTGCAAGCCGGTCAGCACAGAACAGCTGGCATTTTGCAAGGACGAGGTGATCGTGGTGACTGGAGTGGAGGACGCACACTGGTGGGTACGTGATTCCCGAAGCCCTTCCCAGCTGGCAGCGGCTTTGAAGTCTTGTCCTTGAAGCGTGGTGGGGCTCCCTCCAGTGGCCTGTACCAGGAGAGGAAGAGGACTCTCTGTGACCCAGGCCCTGGGGTTAGAAGAAGATGATGATGTCTGTTGCGCAGGTCGTCACTTTTGGACCCTTTCGGTAATGGACTTGTACAGGAAGCTTCGTTTGGTCAAAGCCGCCGCCAAAAATAATGATGATAGAGAATGTGAAAAGATAATGGACGTCATCTTGACTGAACGAATGTGCCATTCATAAGAATTTTCCAGTGTGCATTAACACGTTAAAAAGGTAGTAGTAAACATGGGTGGGGTAGGTTTTGGAAAAGGCCAGAGCAGATGTTTGAACTGTGATGTTTGAACTCTTTGTCTGTTTGCTGATTTTCTGTATGTTGGCAGGTGGGTCACATCGTTGGAGACACATCGAGGACAGGAACATTCCCAGTGAATTACGTACACATGTTGCCAGATTAGCATTTCCAAGCTCTTCACACCAGAGGGCACCGACAACCACAGACCAGAGTCAGGTGGGGGAGCAGGAAATGGGACACCAGCTTTTCGACTGCACCAGCAGTCTGGTCAGCATGGATGAATGTATAAGACCAGAAAAGGAAAGAAAACTGTATTTTTAGATTGTGAATAAGATTGGACAACCAGCAGTTTGGTTGTTGATCTCCATTAGTATGCAGACGTTTTTTGTGCATTTTTTATAAGCTTCAGAAAGTCCATATCGCGTCCTCCTGACCTTTTGCCCTGCAGTAGCCTTTGTGTGACGCAAGTTGTGAACTATGAGATCTGATCTCTCATGCCAGCCTTCCTCTCTGGCAAGAGGATGTGTGCTGATGGGAACACTAGATCTTTGCTTCCCAAAAAAACTCCAACCTGACCCGTGTCTGCACATCTTCCTACTTCAGTTTGACCTGCCTGCTTGGAAGTGAGAAACATCACTGCTCGTCAGCCACTTATCAGCACCCTTGCTTCTCCTAGACAAATACGACAGTCTTTGCCTGGATGGACCAAAGAAAGTCTCTGCAGTCTCTGTCCTGCTTGTTGGGAAGTGTATGTTTTCAGTTGACAAGACAAACGTGAATAAGACCCTGAAGAATAGTACAAAATGGAAATGTGGGCAAATACTGCTCACAAGGGAGGAAGAGTCATGTTTGGATTTTCTCACTCATCATACATCCTCTTCAAAACTGCACAAAAAGTCTTAAAAACAACTTGGAAGTTCTCCATTTACAACTGGTGCAGTGGAGAAATCTCACGTGCTGTGGCCCATACCAGTTGACTGGGTGGTATTCATCAATGACCTATAGGAATACATAGGGTACTCTGTACTAAACGAGTACAGATGTGTCTTGTGATATTTGCGAAAGCACACAGTGCTTATTTTACTGTAGATATTTGACATAGGAGAAGCAAGCAATCTTCCTTAATGTCTTTGACGTTAGTGACTGAATTCTTTGGTATGATTGCTCAGCAAAAACGAAAAAGGACAGAAATGGCTGTCTGCTTCAGAGCTGGAGTTGTAGCTTATTTCAGACTGAAAGCCCACTGCTCTGTGTGCCACACTGTGGCAGCTTGCTCATGGGGTTTGTCGAGATGCTCAGCCTCAGTTTAAGATCTCTCCTGACTGATCCCTGAACTATGAACTGTCTCAAAAAATAACTGTCACTAGGAAAAGTAAACAGAATTGGTTGCTCTTCATCAAATGTTTATGTTTCTGAGCCATTTGCTTTGTTACAAGGCAGGAATTGATCCTTTAAGCAATGGCAAATTAGATCAAAGTGCCATCAGGTGTGGTAGGGATTGTCACCAGATTACCAAAACTTCATATCATTATCTTCACCCTATATTGGGACTGCAGGTAAATGTTTGATACTATTTTTTGTACTCAAGCTGCAGTGGTTACAGGGGTGATCCTTATTGAAAGAGCCCCATGCTGATATGGAAAATCTGGCTCCAACATAAAAGCATAGTGTTGATCTCAAGCTGCTGAATGTTTTAATTTTGTCAGATCATTTCATTAGACTTGGTCTCTGAGTCAGCCTTTTAACTAGAGATATGAAATCCACTTTAGTGGAATGACTTTCTTCGTGGGAAGTTATTTCTAAAAATCCTTAAAAATCCAGAATTTTCCAAAATCCCATGCTAAAGACTGTGCTAATAGCCTAGCACATTTCAAGGTGCTACCTGTCTGTGAAAGACTGCCTTTGTTCTTATTTTGCTGGTGCACCTCATTGAAATAATTTTTTTCAAAGTGTGTATCTTTTTTATTAAAAAATGCTTCATCCACTTGATGAGTGAATTGGTCCTTCAATAAGCTGTGTGCTTAACTAATTTCCAGTAACCCTTTCCAGTAAACCTGATCCCAGTGATAATGACATAATGAACAGTCTGTAAAAAGCAACATTTGCGAGCACTGCTCAACAAGACGTCTTTCATCGTTTCAATGAAACACTGACCTGACTGCTCATTATGTTCAGCACAATTGTTGAGTTAACACATATCATCCTAGATCATCATTTTCTATGGTGAAAAAAATCGATAAGCACAAAAACTGTACTTCGTTATTCTACATAGAATGTGGGTTATTTAAAATGTCATTTGTTTCAGTATATTTTAATTATGTGATGAGTTGATAAAGCCCCTCAGCAAGCTGTTGGGCTGTTGGATTCTTGGAGTAACACTATGCCTTTGCTGAGTACAACATTCAAGTGTCCTGCTATCAATAACACTTGTGCCCCAAAGTTCTTAAAATGCATGCGTTTGCAGCAAGATGTGCCTTGTGTTTCACCTATTGAGAACTAAAAATGCTGTCAAAATGCCTCTGCATTTTGTCTCTTCTGCACTAAACAGTTTCCTCGGATTTCAGCTTGTGCTGCTGGAATGGGCTGAAGTCCCATGATTCAATGGTTTTTCGTTGGTTCTCTCAACTGTATGTCCTCCGTCTGTCAGCATCTTTATCTTGTAAGTGACCAGCTCTTCCTGCGGACATTTAGAATGAGTAAATAACCAGAACTGCCTGATTTTCCAAATCCTAAGCACATAGTCTCCTTTCTTCCCGACAGCTGTCTGCAGTGAATTGTGTGTCTATATAGAGAATCTTTATTCCCAGATGTATCTATAATATGATGTATCTAAATATCTGCCTATTGGTACAGCACATACAAATCTGAAGGATGCGCTGGTATTTGGCCCAGGATAACATTTGGAGCAAGGGTTTTGAGGCCTGCATAAAGCCTGTGTTTAACTAATGGCATGTGGTCCTGCAGTTTAGTTTAGTTTAAGTTCACCATAAAGCAATTTAGATGCAATTTAATGGTTTAGAATATTCTACTTTAAACAATCCATACACTGTCATAGCACTAGTTTTGCAAACCAACAGTTATTATTTTTAATCTGTATATACTTTTACAGACCTCATTAGGGTGTACAGTACCTCATTGACTTGGATTAGGAGTGATGTGTATTGACGTTTGTCTGATGGATCCCAGAGCAAAAGTGGGCACGATATAATTTGATTCATTGGACTAGTGTACAACAAAGTCTTCACATTCATGAGGATTCAGTCGTAGCCAAATTCACATATAACATATTAGTCCACTCCATAGCCCTGCATAAGGTATTACAGTATATACAGTAGTTTGTTAGACATAAGTAACCTTCCCTTATATGATAATTAAAGTACTAATGCAATGACATCCAGTTAATTTAAATTACATTGATAATGTAAAAGAAACAACAGTGATGACAAACAGTAATCAGCTAAAATAAATCCCACCTCTGTATCCTGCCTGCACTTTCTCCATGATCAGCACACCCCACTGTAATCAAACTGTCAGTGAGCCTGTGGAATTGTCATTCCCCACACTGTTGCCACGGCTCCTGGTTCGTTGTTTGCAATGTGAAAGGGCCGCGCTGAGATGCAGAGGCTGGGTAGTTGGGCAGGGTGTGGGGAGAGGCTCACTAGCTAGGCTCATCTTGCAATCCTAGGGTGTCGTGCTGCTGATTTGAAAGCTGCAGTTAGCAGCTTTCAGCTCAGTTTCAATCTGCTCTGCTCTTCTTCCATACAAAATCCCATCTGCCAGAAAAAACAGAGAATCGGCAAATGTTACATTTGCAGATGTCTAGACCCTACTGTATATTTCTCTCTTTGTCTCGGGTTTTGCACGTTTTCAATATGCTTGTGTTTTCTGTGGTTCTGAGGAGGAGTGAGGTTTGTCAAAGTGCTCCCTGGTTTCAATATAAAGACCCCTACAGTGTTCAACAGACCACACCTGTGCTCCCTAATATACAGTAGATCAGAATCGGAAAGAAACAATAAGGCCTTAAAGCCTTAATTGTTTAGCTTTGTTTAATTGATTTTTTTCTCTCTTTCATGTTGGCTCCATTTTCTTAATGTTACAATTTCTGTTGTATTATCGGTGCATGCATTTGTATGGGTTTCTAATGACTGTTGGCAGGTTGGTTTTTTGGAGAATTAAACTATTTTCCTAAGGT